TCACTGCAATTCAGTTTGGCTGACGCGAACGACCTAAGTGGATAAGAGAAGATATCATTGCCGGCGCGGCAGCTTGTTGTGCATAATTCAGTCCGGCCTAACTAAGTGGATCAAACACACGGATCAAAATGCACACGTCGTGCACCCAGAGCGGGCTACCTGAATCCGATGGTGCATCAGGACAACTTTGATCTGGGCTTCACCACAGGAACTCCGCCAACGGCTGATGCTAATACCACAAACTCACGAAAAATTCATCCTTCCTTTGCTTACAAACCGCGCCAGTGCAACAGATACCCCATTTTCGAACGTATAGTTATACACCGTCGTTGCGTGCCGCTTTGAGTATCACTGATTTGTGTCAACAGCACTCACAACATCTGCATGTAGAAACTGTGGAGGCCACTGAGAACTGTATTTTAAAAACGTGTGACACCTTAGGCAAAGACGGAGTGCAACAGGATCAAGCACTTAAAAACGCTGTTATAGTGCAACTGAACCAAAGTACGATTACGTCTGTTATTGAAATCCTACGGAGCCTTTCATGAATTCCCCATAAGTCACGAAACTGAAAAACCAAAAGGTTATGGTTATAGTGATTTTCACTAAACTAAGAGTGGTAACTTGAGATATCAGGCTTAAGGGAGAGGTGTACAACGTGATCCCAAAACCGAACAGCCTGATTAACATCTTACGTCTCGTCTTGGAGCGCCGCAGCCGCCCATACGCCTACTTCGCAAGTGATTGGTTAAAAGAGTGGGTTAGGTGTCAGCCAATCATCTACAGAATCTGCTGAATGTCTGGTGCCAGTGCGTCGTCCAGAAGGCCACCTTATTTCAAAGACCTTCCAGATATGCTTTCAAGTCTATTATAATTTTTGCGGATGCCCTGAAAACCCGGAGTTTCAGCACCAGCGACCTTCAAATGGATTCGAGGGTGCAATGCTCACTAGACTGGTACCCGCTCTGAATGACGAAAAGTGCGACTGTGTCGTTCAGTGGGGACTCAGCAAACACATATGTTGTGTACAGGAAGATTGAACCAAGGATAGTGTAAATATAGACGCCAAAATGGATTTAAGCGGCTTGATTCCATCAAAGGTGCTCCTCTGACTACACCAGGATTCACGGATTCAAGGATTGATACACAGGATCGAGGCTTCCGCTCAAGTTTACCGGGTCGGTTTTGTTCTTGTCATTCAGCGACTGTCGTTCACCTGAAAGGTACAACTGGAAAAGGGGTCTGGCACTGCTCTTCATTTTCTCAGCGCGGGACAGTATGCTTGCCGGCGCGAGGATTCGCATAAATAAATGTCTAGTAGTGATTTGAACTGGGTTCTAGAAGGAGCGTGGACAACCGTCGGAGCAAGGTTATTCAACCCAGCTACTACCCGAAACGAGAAAAATTTTGCCTAATGAATGTGTGCACACTGAGCTTGAAAATCTTCCTACCATGTCCGCACCGTGTTTTTGCTGGGTCAACGGTGAAAAACCTGTTGGCCAGGCTTTGTTCAAACAGGGCATAAGTAAGAATTAGGTTCCCACGGAGGCGACGGTACTCCAGGTACATGGATTTCTCCCAAACCGTTCTTGCGTGACAAGCACGCTCGTGTTTATGGACAGCTTAACCCAAGCCAAGGACGATGGACTCATATCAGATGCCATATTTTCCAGAGTCTCACTGCTCCACCAACTCGAGTCTTACGGGATTCAAGGGAAAATCCTTCGCTGGATCAAGTCGTTCCTATCAGACAGATCATTTCGAGTGAGAATAGGCTCAACCTACTCTTCTCCAGCGCCGGTCTCCATTGGAGTTCCTCAAGGCTAAGTCTTGGGACTGCTCCTGTTTCTGATCTACGTCAACGACCTCCGTGGTGCCATGCAAGATAGTCCGAATGCCGACCAAAAATTACTCTCCTCCATCCGTTGCAACACCTGTGCATTTGTGATCGCCTCCATGAACTGGAATTCGACAGCAGGAGCTTCGCTAACTGCTCTCGACATGAACCTATCGGATTTCAACAATTTGGCATCCCCTAAAACTATATTTGGCCTTTTGTCGTACAAAGTAGACCCTCGTACGTGAGCTAGCGCATTACCCGACACGGCCGAAATATGTGTGAAACCAAAGTTGGTTGTGAAGCTTCCTGAACTTGATGGATACAACTGACTTATCGGTGAACTGAATGGCTATTGAAAAAAGTTAAAAGTCATGTTCAAATCTTTTGAAACCGCCCTCGATGAACGATGGGTCTCGTCACGATAGGTAGCCATATGAAATATACCATTACCAAACAACTATGACAGCAAGCGCGAAAACTTCAAACACAGAGTAGTGAAAAACACAAGATTGACAGAGAGAGCGTTGGTAGTTTGCAGAAGCTCAGGAAATGGAGTAAGATTTTGCAACGGTGAACAATCGCACACTTTCGTCTAATCCGACCAACTGATCCGAGGAGCCTGGGTGTTATCGAAAGGACCCCCGAAAAGGATGGGGCTTCAATCTACAGAAACAGTATCTTGAACGATGAGCTGAACACAGAAGAAAAATTCAGGTGCCCCCATCAAATCAATCTTCGAAAGACAAAATAAACTCTACCACGACGTCAAAATCAGTTCGCCATCAACGAAGGAAGTCCAGTGAGCAATTCCATTGCTTCAGCGCAGCAAACCACCTGGTCCAGTCTGTTAACATGCTGTACCCTTCACAGGTGGCGAAGGTGTTGTGGCTAGCCTGATGACTGTACCCCAAAATATTTGAAATCAGGAGCGAAAACCGACAGAACAGAGTGCCCCGATTTTCATATTCAGATGGGATGCAAGATCATGGTGCGGAAACCATCAAGTCATCAACCTGGAGACCATAGCTTCAAACGTATTCTCTGGTTTTATTCTGCAAGGATTGATCCATCGAGGAGAGCCAGATTGGATGGGATCAAGCAGAGTTGCACTGTGGCCGGGATTGAGTGTCTTCACTTCAACATAGGGATTAAAGCTGCGTCACTCCTTCAGAAGACCAACAATGGCAGTTTTTCCTCGACCAAAGATCAGCCAATCGCTGAGCAACATATTTTTGGTCGTACTCAAGGCGGATCGCAAGTGGCTTAGTCTAACAACTATCACTGCAATTCAGTTTGGCTGACGCGAACGACCTAAGTGGATAAGAGAAGATATCATTGCCGGCGCGGCAGCTTGTTGTGCATAATTCAGTCCGGCCTAACTAAGTGGATCAAACACACGGATCAAAATGCACACGTCGTGCACCCAGAGCGGGCTACCTGAATCCGATGGTGCATCAGGACAACTTTGATCTGGGCTTCACCACAGGAACTCCGCCAACGGCTGATGCTAATACCACAAACTCACGAAAAATTCATCCTTCCTTTGCTTACAAACCGCGCCAGTGCAACAGATACCCCATTTTCGAACGTATAGTTATACACCGTCGTTGCGTGCCGCTTTGAGTATCACTGATTTGTGTCAACAGCACTCACAACATCTGCATGTAGAAACTGTGGAGGCCACTGAGAACTGTATTTTAAAAACGTGTGACACCTTAGGCAAAGACGGAGTGCAACAGGATCAAGCACTTAAAAACGCTGTTATAGTGCAACTGAACCAAAGTACGATTACGTCTGTTATTGAAATCCTACGGAGCCTTTCATGAATTCCCCATAAGTCACGAAACTGAAAAACCAAAAGGTTATGGTTATAGTGATTTTCACTAAGAGTGGACTTGTAACTTGAGATATCAGGCTTAAGGGAGAGGTGTACAACGTGATCCCAAAACCGAACAGCCTGATTAACATCTTACGTCTTACAATGGAGCGCCGCAGCCGCCCATACGCCTACTTCGCAAGTGATTGGTTAAAAGAGTGGGTTAGGTGTCAGCCAATCATCTACAGAATCTGCTGAATGTCTGGTGCCAGTGCGTCGTCCAGAAGGCCACCTTATTTCAAAGACCTTCCAGATATGCTTTCAAGTCTATTATAATTTTTCCGGATGCCCTGAAAACCCGGAGTTTCAGCACCAGCGACCTTCAAATGGATTCGAGGGTGCAATGCTCACTAGACTGGTACCCGCTCTGAATGACGAAAAGTGCGACTGTGTCGTTCAGTGGGGACTCAGCAAACACATATGTTGTGTACAGGAAGATTGAACCAAGGATAGTGTAAATATAGACGCCAAAATGGATTTAAGCGGCTTGATTCCATCAAAGGTGCTCCTCTGACTACACCAGGATTCACGGATTCAAGGATTGATACACAGGATCGAGGGCTTCCGCCAAATTTACCGGGTCGGTTTTGTTCTTGTCATTCAGCGACTGTCGTTCACCTGAAAGGTACAACTGGAAAAGGGGTCTGGCACTACTCTTCATTTTCTCAGCGCGGGACAGTATGCTTGCCGGCGCGAGGATTCGCATAAATAAATGTCTAGTAGTGATTTGAACTGGGTTCTAGAAGGAGCGTGGACAACCGTCGGAGCAAGGTTATTCAACCCAGCTACTACCCGAAACGAGAAAAATTTTGCCTAATGAATGTGTGCACACTGAGCTTGAAAATCTTCCTACCATGTCCGCACCGTGTTTTTGCTGGGTCAACGGTGAAAAACCTGTTGGCCAGGCTTTGTTCAAACAGGGCATAAGTAAGAATTAGGTTCCCACGGAGGCGACGTTACTCCAGGGGAGTCGAGCATCGCGAGATGCGTTTCGTAAACCACGGATTTGAGGCCGGTAACAATTCTCGTAGCGGCTCGCTGGACACGCTCAATGAGGGTGAGGTCTTTCGTGCGTCCTGTGTAGACAACTTGGTTGGCGTACTCCAGGAGCGGCCTAACGCCGGCCTCAAGGCGTGTTTTGAAGTCCGTGCGAATGATACGGTAGAAAGTGCGTCGGATCATCCGTAAAATGGCAAGTGCCTTTTGGGTCGATTTCTCATGGTGTAGTGAGAGGGACGAGTTTGAGGAGACCCAGATACCCAAATTCTTTTCGGCACTATCCCCATGATGTTTTCTGGTCCTTTCTCACCATGCATAAAAAAGGCATTCGCTGAGCCTCCTCCAAATGACATATGGACGCACTTTTCGTTATTCAGAGGAAGATGCCAGTCCACCGACCACTGCTCTGCAGCGTCTACATCCGTTTGGAGGGCACTGGCATTGGAACTCCAGGATTTCAATTCGTCCGCAAAAGGTAGACATGGACTTGTAAGAACATCTGGAAGGTCGTTGACGTAGATCAGAAACAGCAGTGGTCCCGAAATGGAGCCTTGAGGAACTCCAATGGTGACCGGCGCTGGAGGAGAGTAGGTCGAGCCTACTCTCACTCGGAATGACTTATCTGATAGGAACGCCTTGATCCAGTGTAGGATTTTTCCCTTGAACCCCGTAAGACTCGAGTTTGTGTAGCAGCAGGACGTGGGACCCTATCAAGGGTACCTGGAGACCGTCGCCTCCGAGGGGAACTAATTCTTACTTACGCCCTGTTTGAACAAAGCTTGGCAAACAGGTTTTTTACCGTTGACCCAGCAAACACC